GAAAAAAAGTATAATTTTTTGAATGCTCCTTTTTTATTTTTCAGCATAATGTGGTTCCTCATATCACTAGTGGCGTTTAGATTGTACGTTGCAAAGTTACCTCTGCATCCAGCACTAGTCTAATTTTTATTTGAACGGTTTCGTTGGGATTTGTTTTTTTTTTTAAACATTTATATTAATCAAATTTAAAACTTGTATTTTATTTCCGAGAAACAAGCAGGATTTGTTCTCTATGATGATGTTCCGGTCTCAATTCAGTTTAAAAAAGGATACGGATATATGTTTATTTGTATAGTTAAATTCATACTTTAATATACTAGATTTTTACGCAGAAAATTCACATTTGCATTTTTCATTGCGTATAACAGATAAATATTAATGAAATTCAAGATTGGTACCAAACCCTTTCTTTAAAACATTTCATATGTAATAATTTTGTTTTTTTAAAACATAGCTAAGTTATAACAAAATTGTTGTCGAAAACTTACAAAAATAAAAAATTTGACTCTCTTAATTAACAAAAATGCAAAAATCCCAACAAAATCGTAAACAGTAAATATCAAACACAATCTACAATTGTAGGGCTGATGTCAACTGCACTTCAACAGGTAACGTAATGTTTTTATATAATGTATAACATGTATAATGAACATATGTATTGAAGGCCTGTACTGAGCGTTGTAACGACAGGGATGGACTATAGATAATTAAAACAAAACATACTGACGCATGATAACTGAAAAACTCATGTCATGCTTCAACGTCCTTACGATTTTTTACAGACATTAAAGAGATGTTATCAATATAAAAATAAGGATATGTGGTATGGTTGCCAATGTGAATGTGACAACTATCCATAAAAATTCAACTATAGGTCACCGAAAGACCTTCCAACAATAAGCAATACGCATGTTTGGATAAATGTAATCTTTAAAATTAAAACTTTTGATGTTCTTGTTTATTTCGCTTGGCGTTTTTTAGATTTAAAAAGCCAGTATTTAACTATTTAGTGGCTATCGTTGTTATTTTCTATTTCTTTTGAGGTTTGTGTTCGTTTTTTAATTTGTTTTCCAATTTTTTTTGGTCTTCTTTTACATCCGATCTCATGGTACATACATGTATCTGAATTCTCTGTTTGGTTAACCACTGAAAACCATGCAATAAACTTTACTTTATACAATTAACTTGTGCTTAGTACATAGATAAGATACCAAGTCATGAAAATCGTATATCTATCCAGTGTTCTTTCGATTCCTTTGATTTAAAACGACACTATTTCTATTGAAGATTCGTGTTTGTGTACATGTATTGTTCAGATGCACATATGTCATATCCAGGACAGGAACAAATTAAAATAAAGGTAGACTTAGGAAAGTAAGTTGACTTGGATATAAAGGGTGTGATATTTTGAGGGTTTCATCAACTTTGGTACTGACATGATAAATAACAAAATTTTCTGAAATTGTCCGTTTATAAATTTAGATATTATTAAGAAACTAAAGTTTCAACTCCGGAGGGAAAAGATGGCCTTTGGTAAATTTGGCTATTATTTTTAGGTCTTTCTTGGTCATATAGCTATTCACCGTTTCGTTTCTCAAACATCTTTGGTTGTCAAATATTCGGCTTTAAACGTTCCTGATGAAGGTAAATCCAGAAAGCGCTATGGATGCATACAATTTATATATAAAGTGACAACCGCTTGACAATGAGGCAATGTCGGATAGTGAAGAAAAGTTTGCATACAACAGATCTAGACTGACTACAGACCCCAGTTATCAGTTATATATACATTTCTGCACAGTACAACTTTTAAACATACATTCCTAAAAGCCAAACGGGCATATCTAAAGGAGTAGTTTTACCTCTCAGACAGAAAACCTTGATATCTTCTTTGTAATTAATCAATTAAAAACAGATAAACCCCATATCATTCATCTATATCTATACCAACGTGAAGTTTTGTAGCACCTTTTTTTCTTTTTTTTTTTCGCAAAAGGATTATATTTTTTGTTTTTTACAGGTAGATTACGTTTAGTTGATGGGTCTAATTCATATGAAGGACGGTTAGAAATTTATAACGCTGGCGTTTGGGGAACTGTTTGTGATGATCATTTCGACTGTGCTGCTGCTATGGTAGTTTGTCGAGAACTTGGTTACAGGTTAAATAAATACAGTTATTTAGTACAAGCATGACACACTTACTGCAAAACAATAATGTATACTTAACCAAAATAAAAAAAGCATCGAGGCCAATATTATACTATGCAGGGAAACCAACGGATTCTTTTATACAGAAGTAGCCCCTTTAGCTTAGAACAATGTGTGATTTTCCTCTACTCTGCTATTTTTGCTAACGACTTGTGAACGTCTGGCAATGTATTTTGTATTTTATTATTCTTTAAGACATAACTAGCCTAATTCCAACAACAATTACCCAAAGTCGTTCCATTATACACAGGCATTCAATCTTAAAATTGTATCCATAATTCTGTCGATGTTACCAAGGACAATTTAGCACTACCTATAGCTAGGAATTTCATTTTGTTTTTATGAAATACAGCTGATGTAGAAATACAAACTAATAGTCTGTTCATATTGGCAATGATATCTCGATGAAACTTAAATGTCAGCCCTATATGCAAGTCGTTGTTCTGATATGGATAAAGGCCTATATGGAAAAGTCTATGTATATGCACCATTCACGTCCCTAATCTGATTCTCAATGTATGTTTTTATATCTGTTTGCAACTAAAACTACTAAAAGTTATGTGCAGTAGTAAGTTGACAACAGAACATATTATTTGAAAAAACAAAAATAGAAAAATAACACTTTTTATCTTCCATTAATCTACAAAAATATTGAGATATTGCAAATTTAAACGAACTCATTAACTCAACAATAATGTTCAAAGATCTACAATTTTAACATCTATCAACTTGTAAAAAATTAAAACTGCTTTACCTATCAATTTTTTTATGCATATCAACGATCTTAATAAGTTTGAAGTCAAGCATCTGTATTTCCACATATATTTTGACACGGGATATAACCGCCGTATAGATTATTTCATACTTTGCTGCGTATCGAATTGAGGGTTGTTAACTACAGAGTCAAGTAATACTGTGCGTACTTTTGTAGCATATGAAACAAAAGTTGACGTGATCCGTGTCTTGCACTATACATTCTTTACCCATACTGCATTTTATTTGACAAAAAGAATCACGAAACGCACAGTGGCATAAAGTTTTCGAGTACAGACATCATGCCTTATTTACAGTTAAATGAATTAAGTGTTAATGATTGACAAACATTTGTAGCATATTGAGTAAAATATTTTTAGCCACAAATGTTTTTACTTTTACATGTTTTATATACAAAAATAAAATTTAGGAATTCAAAAACTACTGTAACTTATCATTAGCACATGTGCATGAAATATATATAATCATTCAAGTTGTTATATTGCAGTCATGTCCACCATTCATGATAATCTCCAATCTTACAAAAATATTGCAGAGAATAAACGAGTTTTGTAAACGAATTTCGTTTTAGTTGACTTATTAAAGCATAATTTCGATCTTCGGATATAAGATTGTTCACAAAAATAACATTGAATCTTTCGATCTCATTTCTCTAATCAGATAAGGACATGATTCAGTATGTTTTTGATTTATAACAAATAGTAACTCATGTCGAGCATAAGGTCAATGTAAAGCAATTTGTCTTTATTTCATGGCATATATTTAATGTATAAAATTTACAATTTGCATAACCATGATAACTGGTCGCCAAGTTAGAGTTTGAATATACGGTATGATTACTTATTGACATCCATGTGCCTTTTATTTTATTTTGATGTCAGGTTGCTATCTCAGACCCCACACCTTATTTTGTATAATTTTCTGCTTGAACTTAATTTATTGTAAATTTAAAGAGTACCGGGCTTTTTTTACCGAGTACGATAAAAGTCTCGAAAGTTTAATGACTGTAATCCCTGGCACAATTGACGAAGTTTTTCTCTGAATAAGAGATGGGGACAAATTATATTGAATAACACATCAACAGGGTCATTTTTAAATAAATCAAATCAAAATGTTAATATCTATATCGTACAACCAAATTAAAGCTGTATAAATCAATTTAAATGTAGGTATCTAATACTATGTTGTGTACAATTTCCGAACAAAATAAAATTATATATATATATATATATAAAATATATATATATTTATAAGCAAAATTGTCATGATTGTAATGAACAGCAAATTGTAGGGTTGAGGTTACTTGTTATTTTTTCATCCTAATGGTTGACTTGGATAAAGTATGGGACTCCTCCCATTTCAGCAGTACACCTTTTTTTTTAAAGAGAGGGGTACGTTAATTTTTGCGGGATATTAAATTTGGCCACCTTCTTCCGGGCAAAATACCCCCTGTGTAACGCTTTTGCGGTAATGAACCATCGCAAACACTCTCTAAGTGGTCAGTATATGGACTGATGAAAGGCAAAAGTACTGTTCTTATCCAAAAGAGTTCTTCATTTCCAGTGGCAGTCCTATTATGTTCCTTTTTTCCCCGGTCGGTCTATTTTACAACCTATCATTTGCCTATTGTATTAATTGTAAATGTGTTCTCGTTATATGAATATGCATAAAATAATTACCACTCACCAGACTTTCAACAAGTAACAATATTTGTCGACCATTCTAATTGTTCCCTTTTTTTACAAAAAGCAGAAGATTATGCCAGGCAAGGGGGAGGGGCAATACAAAATCATTACAATACAACAATAAACACTATAAATCAAAGGAAGAAATAATGTGACAAAACACACACTTGTTCAGAAAACCCTAAATAGAAAACTACAAACAACACCAAAGCCCGTGGGTGAAATCAAGTGCTCTAAATGGTAAGCAGTTAAAATACTTTTTCATATATACACAGACACTTTAAATTCCATTCGGCTTTGTTAAACAAATGCAATTTTCACTGACGAGGAATGCCATGCACATTAGATACGGACATACATCTAGGTTTATGTAAACCCAAAACATGTTTGATTATGTAGCACATGTTATTTTTTTTTCTTTTATTTAAAATAGATTAATCCTAATTATTAGTCATGTCAATTTTCTTGACATTTTGGAAAATTCGAACTTATTAGTAATAGGAAATTTATTCACCGTAAAATCCGCGGATATCTTCTTACCTATATTTGAAAGATAAAATGCGAGTTAAAACACACAAAACCGGATGGAAACAAGGAAAGATTATATATTTGAAATTCTTTAAACATTATTTTTATAAAGTAGACACATTATCATTCTTTATATCGGCAAACAGGACAGGATTGTCTTTGGGAAATTCTGTAAAACATGGTAATGGCAAAATTTGGCTAGACGACATAGAATGTACTGGAACGGAGAGCAACATGACAAAGTGCCCACATAGTTTATGGGGAACTCATAATTGCATTCATGATGAAGATGTAGGAGTACATTGCTTTAGGTCATATGAAAACAGTTATGGTAAGTAATTATATTTCTTCCTCTTTTTCGAAATGTGTGTGCTAGAACAAGTTAATAACTTTTCTTCCTCTTTTTCGAAATGTGTGTGATAAAACAAGTTAATAACTGTTCGGATGTTATATTTTATGCACAAAATATAATTAAAATGTAAATATTAATTGTTTTATTTAGTGATTTATATTTTGAATCGGTATAATTTGTATTCATCTTAGAACACATTTGGATATACATAAACTGTTGTTTATATAGAAAATTGTACTATATTAAGTTTATATTAACTCATATACTTTTTCACATAATATTTAAACAACATACTGACATTAGAACCTCACAAATTACGATTGTCATTAGTGGGTGCAGAACAGATTTTACTTTCAGAACACTCGCTTTATAATGAGCTTCCTCTGTTGTTTGTTTTTTCATTTTGTAATCTATTTGTCATGGTCTTGTCTGTCTCTTGTTAACTAATGCTTTTTTATTTTTATCATTTTGGTATCCTCTTCCATTTTATGGACACAGTTCGATGTCGCATTTCTATGGCTTTTACACTTTTACTTTGTTCGACATATACCTGCATTTTCAAAAATATTCATTACAAAAATATTCATTACAAAAAAAATATTTACATTTGGGATAAAGGTATCATACACATATTACTAAATCGTATCACAATATAGGATTTATAGAAGAATCGGTGTTCCACCTCAACAATATTCATAACATGTTATGTTTCAAACACACCTTGTTATAGTACCATTAGTTGTAAAGCTAAGTGGTTCATAGACGTTTTGATAAAGGTTATAGTTATAATGTTGTACGTGATCATTGCGTCTGACATTATTTTGGATAGGTGTCATTCCCTTATCTAATTAACAGATTGAAACAACTACATTGTTGTAGGTGTGATTAGTTCTTTCAATTTTATATATATTGGCATTTCTGCACTGATTTCCTTTTGGTTTTGTGTAGTTTGATTGCTGGTTTCATTGACGTAAACTCTGAATATCTTTTAATTCTTAAAGTTGTTTAATAGTTATTGTAATAGTCTTGTTATTTATATGTTCAGATTTGTCAGGGAATTGGGGAACATGGACGTTTTGGACAGATTGCAGTGCAACATGTGAAGGGGGATTACAAAGCAGATCACGCGAATGTAACAATAGATCTCCTCCAGCATACTGCACAGGAACCCCAAAACAAAGTCGCGTTTGCAATAATGATTGTTGTCATTGTAAGTATACATTATTACTACATACACTTTGCTAACAACAACACGTAACACATAATCATGATAATGTTATACACAATGTCGTGCAAATGTTTTTAGTTGGTTACCCTCGGAATTTGCATTTGAATAAATCATGTAATTAGAAGTAAAAATTGCAATGGCATATATCACTTGTCAATAAAGGGTTTTTGTTTTAATGTAAAAAAGCTCAACGATATAACCAATCATTGATTTCATGATTTAAAAGCAATTATAATAAAACTACGGATATTTCTTGTAATGAAATTTGCTGTTAATAAATTTGTGAAATCATTCAAGGATTACATCTCCTTCATGTAATGCTCTGATTCCTTGTGATAATTTGACTATACTTGAGGTATATTTTGGTACTATCAGCTCTTCAACGTTTGTAATTGGTTTTAGATTTTTAAATATTTGGTCTCGAGCATCACTGAAGCGACTTTGCTTTGTCGTAATGCGAATTTGGTGCAGTAAAGTGGTACCTTTAATATCATCAAATTTAAATAATACTTGGTCTCAAATCTTTGACCAAATGGGAGTGCATCCTAGGATAAGTTATCTAAAAATCAATTCAATAAAAACATTAAAAAAGGTGGTTTTAAAAAAACTGTACTGAAGAATTTCATCTTACATTTTTTAACTGAATAAATATTTAAAGATAGCAGCGAATTATCTTTTTGAATGTGTCTTTTTTAGCACCAATCAATGGTGGATGGAGTATCTGGACAGAATGGACTACTTGCACAACCACATGTGGAGGTGGTCTTCAACGTAGATCACGTGATTGTAATAATCCACTTCCACGTGATGGAGGAACATGTTGTGAAGGACTATCATTTGATAATAGACTGTGTGACAGTGCTTGTTGTACTGATATGTTTGACTTCAAATATCTGTCATACACTCTTTGTGGTACGTGTATAGATAATAAAACAAGTCAACATTTTGAATGATCGCATTCGAAATCTAAATTATGTTTGCAGTAAATATATATCAAGTATATAGTTGAAGGAATTTTACATTACAAAAGTTTTTGAAATTAACTAAGAACCGTATAGTTGTTCATATCACTCAAAACAAAAACAACCAAGAGATAAAAGTAATATTGAAATATTTTATGTTATACATGTAATTAAATTGGATCAAATTGAATCTGTTATATATATAAAGTATCATAATATTGCAAATATTGGTTTTAAAATAGATTTGAGTAGCTTCTTAATGCTTATGCTTATGCTTATAGCAGAAATTATTTTGAAATATCCGCATTTTGTTGTATAATCATTACTTTTAAATCTCATTCTAATACTTGTTAATTTTTGTACAAAACACAGTTAATTGCATTTTCCTTACTTTTTGTTAACATTCTTCAAACCATGATGATTTTCAATTAATTTGTTTAAATGTCAATATCTAAGTTAGTATTTGTGATAAAGTAATTTTATCTGCTCATCTTGTTTCTGTGTAATTAAGTCTAAATATTTGTTAATGGTTATGCCAAACTTATTTTATCTGTGTTTTTACTAAAAAAACATATTTGACTTTTGCATCATCTGGTTCCATTTTCCATATATAATCTTTGTTAATGTATTTTTTTTTCTATCCTATTTATCGAATGGAAAAATATTGCTCGAGCTAATCCTTTGATGATTAAAATCCTATAAACGACGTAACCGACGCTCTCATCTGTTTTGAACACCTGTTTTGTACACCAAAAACGTAGGGTAAGTGAGCGTATTTATTTTGTCTTCTTTTTACCTCAAATGAAATGGAATAAGGAAACACCATGTTGAAACGTTCAAATGGCGTGCAGTCCCTAACAATTTACACGTGATTGTTGTCTAACAATCAAAGTTGTGGAATACTTTTGAAACATCTAATACACAATTGTAAGATGGCATTCTCCAAAGCCAAAAAAATATATAAAAAGGGATTGTAGGCACTATCAGCACAAATTAACAGCATAACTTCATACTTTTTTTCTTCTAGTCAAGCGATATTTATGAATGCAAATGAAGACTGATTGTCTAGAAGAAGTATGTCTTTGGTTTTCTACGTTGTATTTTGTAAACTGTTGTTTGTTATTGGTCTTTTTCCGTTTTGCCATGACATTGACAGTTTATTTTTGACTAATGAGTTTGAATGTCCTTTTGGTATCAAACTCAACGTGGTAAAATTGAGAATGGAAATGGGGAATGTGTCAAAGAGACAACAACCCGACCATAGAGCAGACAACAGCCGAAGGCCACCAATGGGTCTTCAATGCAGCGAGAAACTCCCGCACCCGGAGGCGTCCTTCAGCTGGCCCCTAAACAAATATGTATACTAGTTCAGTGATAATTGACGTCATATTAAACTCCAAATTATACACAAGAAACTAAAATTAAAAATGATACAAGACTAACAAAGGCCAGAGGCTCCTGACTTGGGACAGGCGCAAAATTGCGGCGGGGTTAAACATGTTTTTTGAGATCTCAATATCCCCCTATACCTCTAGCCAATGTAGAAAAAACAAACGTACAACAGTACGCACAGTAAAACTCAGTTTAAAAGAAGTCCGAGTCCGATGTCAGAATATGAAACAAAAGAAAATAAACAAAATGACAATAATACATAAATAACAACAGACTACTAGCAGTTACTGACATGCCAGCTCCAGACTTCAATTAATCTGATTGAAAGATTATGTCTTCATCATATGAATATCAGGCACAATCCCTCCTGTTAAGGGTTTAGTATTATACCGTCATAAAATATATGAAAAGAACATGCCAACAACTGGTTTTAAAATAAATATGTTTAATTCCGATGCAAAGACCCTATAAATGAATCAATATTAAAGCCAAAATATGCAATCTTTAATGACCTGACAACAGTATCGTAACTATATCCCTTCTTAATAAGTCTGTTTAAAGGTTTTGTTAGCTTTTGAGGTGAATACTGACATTTTTGTGCTTTGTAAAGAATATTACCATAAAAGATTGGATGTGAAATACCCGAACGTATAAGATGTCTGCATGTTGAGTTATATTTACGAATGATGTCCTTATACCGATGATAAAATTTTGTAAATGTTTTGACTAGTTTATGATATCGAAAACCCTGGTGTAATAATTTTTCAGTAATATATAAATTTCTCTCGCTAAAATCTAATACGTTGTTACATACACGAGCGAATCGTACAAGTTGAGATATATAAACACCATAAGATGGTGACAAGGGAACGTCACCATCTCAAAATGGATAATTAACGATAGGAAATGAAAAATCATCTCTTTTATCATAAATTTTTGTATTAAGCTTCCCGTTAATGATATAGATATCAAGATCGAGGAAAGGAAAGGACAGTGGTCATTGTTAGTATTAGCTTTATTTAAAGTTAGTTCAACAGGATAAATTTCTTTAGTATACATACTGAAGTTGTCATTATATTGAGAGCCAATATATCATCCAAATATCTAAATGTATTGTTAAATTTTTGTATCAGATGTTGTTTCGACGGGTCTTTGCTGATTTTAGTCATAAATTGTAACTCATAACAATACAAAAACAGGTCCGCAATAAGTGAATAATGGTAGTCTCATGCAAAGCAGGATGATATTCATATTTCGATTATATTTAACATGAACATAGTTTTTTTGTTTTTTTTTTTACACTGGTGAATGTCTTCCCAAGAAAAATGTCCGGACGAAATGGGGACGTTATATCTATGTTCCGAGTAGGACGTGCCACTTTCTATCTCTCTCTTTACGTTAATGAAAGTTTGCAACAATTTCCTGAGGAGCCGAATGTGACTTGTTGGAAGGATAATATTCTACTCAAATTTAATGAACTTGCAATAGATACAAGGAATAATTTTTTGTACGCCAGACGCGCATTTCGTCTACAAAAGAATTAGCAGTGACAATCGAATCAAAAAGGTTTAAAAGGTCAAAAACGTTCGAAGTTAAAGATCATTGAAAACCCTAAATTCAAAAAGTTTTGGCAAATACAGCTAATATAAGATGATATATTCCTGGGGAAAAAAACGGTCACACGGATCTACTGTTTGTATTGTTAATTCGTTCTCATTCTAAATATGCTTGAGATGTATGCCACTTGAGTTTAACTAGTAACAATTAAACAATCAACATATCTGAAATAGTGCATTGCACGAGAAAGGTCGTACAGTTTCATTCAATTGCAAGGACTTTAAAAAAAGAGCCGGAAGAGATATTCAAACTCTTAATTCGATTGGAAACTGACAACGCCTAGGCCAAAAAAAAACGACCGGCAACGTAAAAACAAACAACTCCACAAAATACGACATAAAAACAAAAGTCTGAGCAATACGAACCACCCCAAATACACACACTCACCAAACTTGTCATTTAACTGTCATAAACTTTGACATGATCTAGAGATCATGCACTTAAGTAAATTACCTAGGCCTAATTGCAGGCTGACGTTAGGTTAAGTTCTTCATGGAATACTATAAACATAGAAGTTTGCGAAATATATTAAGGCAGGGCGTAGTCCATGGCATTGGTAATAAGTTCGCTGTCGCATACCTTTTATCCGCGGATACATTGTAGAACGGCATGCTGAATCAGACATAAAAGTCTACCCTACAGTAAAAAGTCACTGCCGTGCGCAAAAAGAGTATACGTATGAAATAATCTCAAACAAAACATGGGGTACTGGTATCTTAATTTATTAAATGAAATACAAATATACCACAAACTGTATGATTATGTTGACTGCTAATATATAAGTCAACATAATTTGTTCATGTGTTTATCAATTATATTGTAAGTTATCTTTTTTTTTCAATTATAATAATTTATTAAATTCTCTATGTACAATATCCTCATTTTTTAATATTTTTTCATCTACATATTTTGGAATCTCAAATATTTATGACTCGAGCATCACTGAAGAGACATTTATTGTCGAAATGAGCATCTTATGCAGAAAAATTGGTACCGTTAATGATAGTATCGTAAAACGAAGAATACTGAAAAATTAATTTCATATACTAGTATATATTTCAATGTTGGTCAGGTCTGCCAAGATAACAAAGAAAGTTCATATTTTGTCATGAAAGAATTTCATGTAACTATTTAATTTTTGTCAACCGTATAAATGTATTAAGCTAGAAAATTCTACAATTTAAACAAAATATAACTTTAGCATACGAATAAAGGCATTCGTTTTATTTATTTATTTCTTTTGGGATAGGGGTCATAAGTGTACTGGCATCAGTGTCATAAAAATAAAGCATTCAATCAGTAATTTATTGATGTTGTTTTCGTACTCATATTTTTTTCATTCCAACATACTAGGATGACGTGATCTACCTTAGTAATCACAGGGCCGTTAATTGGATTCAGCAAGTCAGTTGAAAAAATGTTATTAATGTTTCTCAATAGCTTTAAATTCTAAATGACTAGCATTCAAGTTAAGTCGCAGTGTCAAAACTGCCTTCAAATACATTATGGTGCAAGAGTCATCGCTATAAAAAATGTATTCATATTTATGACTTTCCAGTTATAAATGTTTGTATCTACGATTTTCTGTTAGAGTTAGTAAACTTGTAAATGAAAAAAATATCCTTCTTTAAATATCTTCTCTTTATTTGTTATATGTTTCTATCTGAGATTTGTTGCGATATCAGCAACAACGGTGTCCTTAAACCCACGATATGTGTATTGCAATGAGAAAAAAAAACATAATTTGAATCCTTTCTTCGTTAAAAACACCAGGTAGAATGCGACCAAACGTTGTTTCAAATTAACGTACAAAAAGTACAAAACATAAATTTGATTTATAAACTTCGAAATGCCTTTGATCAAATATATTCATTTACAAGGCGATGTTTGTATAAATTAAACAAAAAAACATATTCCCTATCGACAAATATAAAACCAAAGAAATGCGATAAGTTGACCTTTAAATTTTCGTTTGTCAAGAA